GCGGCTGAAACGCGGCACTTCCTTCCACTTCAGCACAAAGAAAACTGCCATGAGTAACCTGACCACCTCCGTGTCGTTTATAAAACACAAGATATATAAAGCACATCAGCAGGAAGAGAACTCAGCAGCTGGAGGAGAGCCACAGCTATACATCAGTGAAGACATATAATAGAAAGGACTCCTTAAAACTCTTGTATTATGCTCTACTTTAATTCATTGCTGATATTTTTGCCATTGGTAAATGCAAGTAAACACAAGGGACCGCTTGCCTTATTGAAAATGGCCAAAAATTACTGAATATCCGATAATGAAATTCAACAAACAACCGATTCTATTTAATCCCCAAATTATGTCTCTAATAACAGCCATGATAGCAAAAAAAAAAAAAAAAAAAAAAAAAAAAAAAAAACCAAAAACTCATGTTGATTGTGTTCTGTCATGACTAACTTTGGGTATTTGTGAAAATGTAGACTCCTACTCTGAAGGTGGTAGAAGACATTTCATCTCTCTGTGTTTACCTTCTAAATTCTGTAAATGTGTCGTGTAAATGTGTAATTGTGGGTTGATCACATTTCTGTTTTCAGAAAATGCTTGATATAGTATAGTATAGTATAGTTTGTTGAAAATGAGTAGGAAAGAAGAGTTGATTTTGTGTTAGCTTTTGGATATACCTACAGAGGTAATTCTATCATTCAATTTCCTCTTCATCAAGGAGCTTTTTGCTTGTTGAGTCTTACTGCATTTGCGTCCACCATGAAGAGACTTAGATCTATTCTAATTAAATTTTTCATCAATGTGAAATTAACCTGCAGAGAGAAATGACTACCTGAGTAGTTTGAAATTTGATCCTGATTTACTCCCTTGCTGTGAGAACCATCCACATTCCTCACATCTGTACTGTTCCAAAACATGATATTGATTTAAAATGTGCGTATAATGAAAATACTCCTTGTTTAAACATAGCATGCCATTCACTCTTCATTCCTCTCCAGGGTGGGCAGTATAAGAAATAGAAGGACCTCAGTTTTATTTATTTGGTTTTTCTCTAAATCATTTCAAAATTGTTGCAAAATCCTTATTTATCCTTTGGGAAGGCTTTGGATGCTCTCACTTACACCTCACATGAAGTACAAGCCTCAGCAGTCCATTTCTATTGGGAGAATGAAAAAGCTCCTGAAAGCAAAGTACAAAGTACATCCAGTAGCCATGGCAGCAGGGAGAGCTGGTGCTGTGTATCAGAAAGAAGAACCATTTCTCCAAAGACCCTAGGAATCCACGATATGTCAGATTATCTCTCATCCTAGCAATGAAGTAAAACAGCAAGGAGGACTATAATCTTTATCAGGGGCAAAAAATATCATCCTGTTCTGAGATATCTTTGCATGTGAGAATTTAAATGCTTATATCTTAATCCAGAAGTGCAAAGAGAACATAACAAATGCATTCTTGAATTCTGAAGTTTGAAAGTAGCCAGTAATAGCCTCATTTCACGAGCTGTTGCCAAACTCTGTGCATCCCTGACATGAAATCTTCATCAGTCTTCCTTTCTGCAAAAGGAACACTCCCAGGTGAGCTTTTTCAGAGTCAAATCATATGTGGCTTTGGCTTACAGGAAAAAACAATTCTTCATCACACATGTCAGCAGAAGTCGCGTCTTGATCTCTGAATTTTGAGCAGCTCTAACTTACTGGATAGGCAGGGAATACAGTGTCCAAGTACCTAAGGGAACTAGTGACCATCCTCATGAATATATTGAATTAAATCAATTTATTCTTTTAAATGCCCCTTTGTCAGCAGGGCTACATGCCTTTATATTACTACCGCACCGGGGTGCCTTTACTAAGTTGCAATCATTTTCCAGTTTTCTCAGTCATTTATAGTAACGCTGTGACTATGCAGAATTCTTCATAAATATTTAATTAAAATTACTCCGCAGGCAAAAGCACCAGGGAAGAGTCAGAGCAGAAAGTGAGTCACTGCTCCTTAATCAGAGACGAGTGACTCGGCGTGCCGCTCGGGAGCCCGGCGGGACAGGGTTATTGATGCCGGTCACTCAGCGGCGGCCAAGTCCCACGCAGGATTTGGGGATGCGTCCTGGAGCGAGCACACCCCAACGGAGGAGCTGGCGCCTCCCTGACACCCTTCTGGAGCCAGGGACATCTCATGAGCTGCGCAGCGACAGTCTTGTTCTTCGCCCGCAGGGCCTTGTTACTTGTAAAGCTTTTTATTCACAGCAACACCAACCTGCCCCCTTAGTACGGCCAGAAAAGAGAGATGACATGCGGTTGCTTGCTAGCATTATCTTTTTGTTAGATAAATCCATATGGATCAGAGCACCATGGGTTCCGTATAGCTTAACATTTAGATAGATTCCCAGATAGCACAATGCCTCACTTTAAGACCCTTGGCTCCCCCCAGTACAATCCACAGATCCAAACTGGGATCCTAATCTTCACTGGACACCTAGTGTGGTTGTGTTAACTCAGAAAGCAAGAACAATTGTATTTTTAAAAATCTGGGCAGCTAGGAAAGCTCCTTCTTATATCAGCATTCTGTGAGCAAAGAAGAAACAACTGCTCACAAGGAAAACTACATATTCTAAACTAGTAGAAATCACCCCAGCATTAAAATAATGGTAAAATGAGTAGAAATAAACAGTAAGAGTAATTTATTTCAGCTTTCAGAAGCGTTTGCTGTAATATTATGGACGGAAATGAGAAACAAAATGTGATCATGTGTTAGAATAATTGATTGTTCATTAAACACTTAGTGTACAGTACAGCAGTTCCCGTGCTCCTCTGGTATAATTCAATTGACTTCTGTTCATGCTAATGTTTATCTGGAAGTTGTTTTCATAGGTTCAGTGGCCTATGGTTAATTTAGCACATGTGGCTAACTGCAAAAAGGTTTTAAATAATAACAAGCATTAGGCTGACCTCTTGGTCTTACCTGGTTGAATGAAAGCAGATAAAGCAGATACGCAAGCAGCTGCGGAGGTTCTTTAAGAGAAACTGCTGAAATTACACTTTTTTTTTAAATGAGGCCTTTCACCTGTAGCTCCTTTGAAGTGTGGCCCTCCACACCTCCCTGCAGAGTCTGAAGGAAACCAGGACACTGAGTTTTGTGTTCCCCCAGCCTGCATTGCTGTGTTCCAGCTTGGAAACACAGTGCTTAAAAACAGATCTTTTAAATTAGGTAAGAACCAATTCTTAAATGTTGGGCTGCAAATGGCAGCCCTTGAGGAACGGCTCCAGAGGATGAGTCTTCACTGTGGCCCAGAGCCGTCCCTGGGCGATGCTGCCGGCTGCTCTCCGCCGCAATGGGGTCACGGGCTACGTCCGGGAAGGTGCCAGGGCTTTCCTGAGCTGCCCACACAACAGACCAGCCATGTTCAACGCCAAGGCTGCAAAGTCTTGAGCAGGCTCAGGAGTGCCTCTCTCGCATCAGAATTCAGCAACATCTCTTGTGTTAATCTAAATCTGACTGTTTCAGTGGAGAATTGCTTCTCCCACGGAAAGGCATATTTCAAATTTCTTGAAAAGCTAGAGCTTGCATTTGTTCCAAAACAAAGGTATAATCTTCTCATAAATTGTAAGTCATGAATAGGCTCAGTAAGTTTGGGCACCTTTGCTTAAAAAAGCTTTAAGCTGGGCTTAGTTTTATTTGCATAGCTTTCAGATTAGAAGACTGAGAAAAATGGTGATGCAAAGCATAGCTGAAAGATGACTAATTATCATTTTGAAAGTCTCATTGCCTTGTCCTCATTAAATGATGCTTACTTTTTTGCATATTTAGATTTTCTCAACTTCACCTTCTCTTTCACAGCATATGCTGTCTTCCTGCAGAAGTTTGAGGAACTGCCCTGGAAATGACCGAGGCTGCGGTCAAAAGTAAGTTACATTTCATTAAGTTATATTAAGTTACAGTAGTTTACTGAAGCCACGTATATTTCTATTTTGCAATAAGTCACATTTTGCACAGTAACACTACCCTGGTAGTTACGGCTGTTTGGTGACAGTTATTGTTACAAATTGCTTTCTCTGATTCCTCATGATTCCTCATTCCTGCAGGATGGGTGCTATCAATCTATGAGGCAAACACTGAAGTAAAAATTCAAAATTGCTTTCCATTTTCATTTTAAATGAAAAAACATCATCAGTGTGTGCAATTGTACATGAAACAGGTCTCACACATAAAGTTTGGCATATAAAATCCTTCCCAATTCTGTGTCTCTATTGGACGGGTGCAATAGGCAGTTTTGTTTTGGTAATTCTTAAGTGCTGCAGAAGGTCTCCCTGTGCGCTGTGCTGCAACAACATGCTCCTTGGCGATGAGTCTGCTCTTTCCCGCCGCTAAAGGGCTGCTCTGTCATTCCTGCAGGAGTGCCACTGATAAAATGAGGTGGTCCGTGAATGGCAGCCTGCGGCGCGCACGGAGCGATGCCCCTAGGCATGAGCAGGACCCTTTTAGCCACACCGTGCCTTCCGCCTCAGAAGTCCTCCAGTGCTGTGGGAAGGAGGCCTCTTATTTTACACTTACAGGCTCTTCTGGCTTTCTTTTACCTCCCCACTGTGCCACTAGAAATGTATCAGCCAACAAGGAAATGTAGGAGCATATTAAGCCTTAAGGTCTTCTTGATTTCTCACCAAACATACCAATCAATGTGATCTTATGGTCTATACATGCCACTTGTAGTCATGATTCTGTCATTACTACTTAGGCTGGTTGATCACTTAGTCTTGAGGCTATCTGAACTCACACAGTCCAGAAAGAGGCCTGTAATATAAATGAATCCTGCATTTGTTTTATATTGACTATAGTTTGATACTGTAATTTCACCTACATTTGTTATCTACAGTGATGAAATAGCCCCCCCCAAAAAAAACAAAAGAATTTTATCCATTTTGCATGCAAAATAAGTAGAAATATTTTTTTTTTTTATTTTTATTTTTTTTTGGTGACACAGGGAGAGAGGAACCTGAGGGGCAGCAGGAAAAACACAACCACCCAAGCTCTTTTCAGCTGATTCAGTGGCAGCTCTGGGGAGGAGATCTGAACATACCCTGCTGGTTAGAGGGCTGTGCTACAGGATCAGGTAGGCAAAAACTTTTAATGCAATTTATAAAATTCCTACTTGGTGCTTTCAAGCAACAGGCAAAGGTCAACAAACAAGTCAGATTTTGATAGGTGACTTTGCTTCCAAGCAGACTGAAGCAAAACAAAGAAAAAAGTCTTTCCAAGACAATGACCCAGAAGGCAGGAAGATGCCCTCCCCGTCCCCCAAGCCTGACTATGGCCTTGTGTTTTTTCAAGACATTTTTCAAGACTTTGGCTCTCAGTAAAGACTGCTGTTTTCCTCTCACACACATTCATATTTTCAGCGTTCCACACAGCCTAAGCAAGAAAGCATGATATAAAATCAGGATACTGTTGTTTGTATTCCCTATTTCATGCTAAAAGGGGGAAGGGGAAAAGACCTTATAAATAGCTGCAGGCAGAAGAGAAGGCTTTTGTGTTCAGTGCTGGTTTTATGGTGCCAAGGTGAAGTTGGTATGAGTCACTCCTATAACTTACATGGGCATGACACAGGCTTTTGACATTTAATATTTTCTTCTACGCTTACTAAAAGTTATAATTCCTCTTGAAAGCTTGGATCCACTTTGTTTTCCAACCATTTGGTCTGTTCACATTTGGCGTTTTGCCATCTTTCCAATGTGCACAGTCCATCTAAATACCTTTCTGGCCCTTATTGCTACAGTGGATGAGTGCTTATAGAATTTATAGATTTTATTCAATCTGTAGCTCATATTGCACTTGGCAATTAGAGGCACAGGGAGACCTTGTGCCAGGCTCACAGTCACACAGACACTGTACAGCAGAAACAGGAAGAGCATGAGGGAAGGTGTATATTGTATTTCAGCTGTTGGCTCAAGTCTATGCTTGCGCTCAACTTGCTTTTTAACCAGAAAGAACTGTGATATTCAAGAGAATGTGAAAATAAGATGAAGGAGAAAAGCTGGGCTCTTTTTACACATAAAGTAGGCCTCATCCTGTCTCTTTTGCTTGCTAAGTTGTATGTCAAAAATAGCACTGTCTGATTTTATTATAAGGGCCAGTTCAAGCAAACCACAGTAGAAATAGGAAAAATATTTTTCATTATTCTTTTTCTTCCCCCTCTCATAATCCTTCTTTTTAGACAAGCCATATAAACAAGGGTATTTTCTAGAATTTTTTTCTTTCCTCCTATGGGTGTATATGTTTACGTTCACACACACACACGCACAGAGTCTTTGTGGTGGTACCTAAGCCATCTCTGCGATTATTCGATGAACAACATTTGGCAGACAATCCTCATACATGGAGCTGGATGTGATGTGTTAGGAGCTGGAACGTGGGGTGCTCTCACAGCAATGCACTGCGCTGAGCCGGAGGCAGGGCAGGAGGAGCGGCCACTGAGGGTACAGACGTGCATCGGGAAGCACACAGGATTTTTGTCCTTTCTCCAGCCCAGGTAAACAGAGCCCAAGGCTTTCGAAGGCCAAACGATCTGTGCTGGTTGGTTCCTGGTGGCGCGAGGCCGGCTCACACCGTCTCCATTTCCATCACGGCATGCTCACAGCACCGTGCGCTCTGAGCTCTGGTTTTATACTTCCAGGCACCCAGGGGCTACTGCCACAAGCTAAGCAGAGGTGGTAGTTAAAGTCAGCATGGCTAGTGATACAAAAGCTTTGGAAACAAAAACCTCCAAACATGTAAGCTGGGCTCACAGTGAGTGCCGCTGGTCTGGGGGGAGCTCTGTGTGGTTTTATAAATGAGCTTGTGTAGGTTGTTTACATGCCGATGGCTATGAGCCAGATTTTCATTCGCCCTGAGGCCCTTATATCCCTCTAAAAATGCATTTACCCTGCTCTTAAGTGTGCCCTTCCTGGAAAGGGGATTAGTATTAAAGAGATGAAGACAGTAGCTTTTTGAGCCCAGAATTATTTCCTTGCTACCTTCTTTGACAGCAGAAAAGGGCCCTGGCCTAGCCAGATCCTCTAGCTGCTACTGTCTTCTGCAAAGAAGCAGTAGAAAGAGGCAACTGAAGAGGACAGCAATTTTGTGCTGTATTTCACCAACTTTGTCAGCTTGGAAGACTAAGCAATCTAATAAGAAAATATCACTGACCATGAGACAGCACTTGTTTACTGATGAATCACATATGCAGCTCGTGCCTGGACTGTAAGTTGCCTTCAAATAATTGCTTGCCTTTCGTTTTTAAAATGATTTGTGAAATGGCAAGGAGCATTTGCAGCGAGTGAGACACACGCTGTGCACCTACCGATGAGGCTTGATTCTGTCTACTTACAAGTGTTGCTTCAAGCTGTGCTCTTTCTAATATTAGACTGGCACTGGAAAGGCAGGCCTAGACCCGGCAGTTGTCTCTGTGGGAGTGCTGGGGTGGGCAGCCCCTCTGTCCACAGCCACATCCAGCAGCAAGGAGCCTCTGGAAAGAGCTCCGGGGCAAAAGATGAGCTGAAGCTTTCACACTGCAAGCAGGAACTGAGGTAATAAATGATGATGGAGCACATTTCGCAGGTGGATTCCAGTGGATAGAATCCATGTGGATATGTCTGTGGGATGGACAGCACAGCAGTTTGGTTTTCTGTGCCATATCCATGCATGATGGGTAGAAATCCATGGTTCCTTTGTGCAGTGTCCTGATATCTATTACTATAAAATACACTAGGAGGATCACAATGCATTGTTATCTAAGGTCTTTCTCCTCATCTAGCACATTCCCTATAATGCTGCATTTGAATAACATTGCCCATTTTAAAACACACTGAAAAGCCGCTTTTTCTCTTCGCTATCAAATTATTCCTTTAAAACGCCTCTTTCCGTACAATAGGACATCAGAGTGCTGCATGCATCAAGGATGCTATTGACATATTCAGTGGGGTATTTTTAGCATGGTGGAAAAAAAAAATTTTTTGAGAAAGGTCAGTTCTTTCACTGTGCTAATTAAATTGCTTTGGAAGGAGATTATATCACGATGGTGACCAGCAAGCTAACTAGAAATCATACACCAGTCTGCAGTAGGCAGCTTTTGTGAAAATGTTGGTGTACGAAGGGCTGGCAGAGAGATACACAAGTATGCTAATAGATTGCCAGTGAGTCATTTGATAGAATATTTGTTTCTTTGATGTTTTCATTTCACAAAGCAGGGAAAACAGAAGGATCTCTTGAAAGGAGATCATTTTCATCCACTTTTAATTACATTTCTTACTAAGTGTAGCATTTTATATGTGCTTTTTAGCAGAAAACTTACTATTAAACGGAGCATACGTGGAAGCTGGTTAATTGTGGTCATTAGTGTGGCTGTGTTTTTGGAAAGGATGTTTCCAGTCTGGCTTTAAAAAAAACAAAGATGCTCTGAATAAATGATGAGACAGTAATTTTTCCCCTTAGGTGTGATTGGACTGGAAGTACAAAAAATTCAGACAGTATTTCTATCTAGTTCACTATAATCTACCTAAAATACAAGTGATTTCACATTACTGCTTTCTCTAGTTTATTCACTGGGAGTAGATCTAACTTTCAAGCTGCTCATGACTCAATTCACTGCCCACCCTTTGCCGACCGTTTGACTTTCTCCAGGATCTCGTTTTGCTTGAATAGTCAGGAACATTCCTCAGGTTTCCCTTTTAATATCTCCTCCTATATGGAGTTTCCTTCTTTACTGGGTTTCCTGAGGTTGTTTAAACCTCAGGAAACATTTGCAGCCCAAGGAAGAAAGCAAGCAACCTAAACCAGAACTACCACAAGGTGGGGTTAGGCCATTTGTGATGTGAGCAGTCCGCAGAATGAGGAATGGTCCTCTGTGTCTCTTCTTTCTCCTCTACAATCCTCTACACTTCTGCAACAGAAACTTGCTCTTTCCAAAATGATCTACAAGTCAGTGACAAAGCAGAACACAGTTCAGCTGCCTTCTCACTCTTATGCTCACTGAGGGTTATTACAACTTTCATACTTCAGTCTTGGTTGTCTGTATTGCCTATATCAGAGAAAGTCTCTTATTATAATGATTAACATACGAGCAACTATTTTTTTCCAAAAGCTTTTGCTGATCTCCTGCAGAGCACTTTGCTAGTATAGCAAAGACATTAGTGGCTAAAAGCAGGTTTTGCTGCTGACCAGTTAACGCCATAAGGCCTGTTAAGATGTTATCCAGGTGACTCTCAATTTCAAACATTTGAAATCGACTGTAAACCTTTCTTACTAATTCCATATGCAGACAGCACAAATTTGCTAGAATGTGCCTGTTCGGGGAGAGTGTTTAGCCTCTTGCATGAAACTTTCAGTGTCTTTCAAGATACACTTACCTGCAGAAAGCAATTCATTAGCTCTAAAAGAAGTTATTACTTTAAATATAGCAATTAAGAAGATGAAATGAGAGGCGAGCAGTTAGCATACCAGGTTTAAATGTCATATACTTAACAAGAAGTTCAAGAGGGATGTGATGGGTTTAAGACCAAACAATTCTATAGAAAAAAGTCAGCATCGCCAAAACCAGATGCCGGATTTTGGGACCTATTGAGGGAATTTGTGGTTGGGGATCACAAAGGGATTGACTGGAATTTTCTTAGCATCTAAATTACTTGTGAAATATTTGAAAATATTTCCTTTACATTCAAACAAGCACCCAAACACACTGTCAATTCTCACCGATGCTGAAAGCCTGTCTTCCCCCTCTTTGACACAGATATACCCAGGACGAGTTTTCACGCCTGCAAAGCACAGACTGTGGCTTCCAGAATCACTCGCCTGCAAAGTCTGTCAGCTTTAAGCATCTCCTCTCTGATCTTGTAAATTGGATGTGCCGAATCTCAGCTCGACATTTCTCAGGCTTGTTGACAGCAGCAATAATTACATGGTGAAATGCAAACTAACAAGCTGCATCTACTCAGTATTAAGGATTAATGGTCTGAGTTTTAGTTTTTGCTTCCCTACAGGGTAGCCAATTCACCAAAATCATGCTTCAATAAATGCAAGTGTGAAATACTGCAATTGTAGAACCTATATATAGAAATGAAAATCTGCTGCTTCTCTCATTATCTGAGAAGAGGGCATAGCATAAAATGCTCTGTAGCTTCACCTGCCTGAGGCAAAACTAAGATGCTCACTTAACCATTTCTCTGATAGAGACCTTCCCCAGGGGTATTTATCCCTTACTCTGCACTGTCTTTATTAGGTCTTCCTTAACGTGGTCTTTATGTCCACTGTGAACTTTAACCATTAATTTAATAGAACCTCTCAAGAAGGATTTTGCTGCGTGTTTCTACCTACCTTTAGCAGCTATTATCTGAAGGTTTTTGTATGCATTACTATGAACCTAAGCATACTGGCAGAGCATATGTGGAGCATCAGCCAGGCACAGATTTACTTGTCCTAGGTGAAATGGTAAACATGCACTCACATTTCACATGATGTGGTTGTGGCCATGAGGCTCCACGCCCTCCTCACAAGCCCTCCCAGGCAGGGAGAAGCTAATCGGCTGAGGCGCACCGAAGCAGGAATAAGGAGAAAGGAAATAGTGATATTTCTGAAATGCAGATGGATTTGGGTTGCCTGGATCATGAAGGCAGGACATGTCAGAGCTAGTAATGCAGTCCACATTTCCAAGCCTGATCTAGCATCTTAATGACAGGTGCTGTCTTCCCCTCATGGAATATAAGCCCTGCTTTCAAACTCACTCCCCAACCCATTACAGTTAAGATATCTGTATTCTGGAAAAACGACGAAGATTTCTTATTATGTAGTTTTTATAGCTGTTTGTGTGAGTAAATCTTAGAGCCAGGCAATGCATGAATAGTTTGCCACATATAATTTACTCAATGTATTCAGATGTTGTATCTTGAATACTAAGCATCATGCTCTCGTCAATGAAAACGGCTGATCTGGAATATTTTTGCTTGGCAGTTGGGGTTATATGCAAATCTTGCACTTTCATGTACAATTCAAATAAATGGCTCTGTTTTAATAAAAAAATCATCTAGCCAGACTGCAGTGAGACAGCTGGCCTGGCTAGTCAGACTCCAAAGGGAATGGTGGGAGGGAGAGGAAAGGCAGCTCTGAACTGAAATGGATGTGTAATTTCTTGCCTAGAGGCTTGAAGAAATGTGCTCTATATGTCCTGTCCTACTACCCCTTGCAGCTAGAAAATTCAAGCTATTTTCAGTTAGTGAAAGACAGCTCTAAATCTCTAACAATTTTATCAAATTCTGTTAACCATTATCAGTAACACTCCCATTAATGTAAAAATTGCCCAGTTCTCTTTCATTTGCACTACTGTAAAAGCCAATCTACAACATGAGTGGAGATTTAGAGGTGAAAAGACCTTACACCAATACACTTTCAATTAGGGTCTTGACCTTTATTTTATCTTGCTCTCTTTCTAATTTCATTCTGGGCCCATTCCCCTTGGAGTTTCTTCATCACACTATACACCTAACCTTGACCCAGGCTCCCTCCCGAGGGAGCTGCCTGCACTCAGGGATGTCTCTTGCTCTTCCTGCTAGGAGTAGGGCCGAGCCAAAGCAATAGGAGAACCCTTCATCCTACGAATGTCAAAGGTTAAATCTCCCTCTGACTCCAGAAAGGCTTTTTCAAAGCTGTGTCTGGCTGCAGTTTGGCTTCCCCATTCCTGGGAAACATTCAGAAATGCCTTTGCAGCCAGAGGTGCAGGAGTGTTTAGTATGCAGAAAGCTTCCTTTTTTCCTTCCTCTTTATTTTTTAATGAGAAAGCCAAAGAGAAGTGCACCACTAAGGAGCTCTAATGGCACTGCCTGTCAGTGTCTGTGAGCTGTGTCGCTGCTTTGCTGATAGGAACCCTGCACAAAGAATATCTTTGGTGCTAATCAGAGCCTCTGAACCAGGCTGCCGGCTCAAGAGAAGGGAAACAAATTCCAAGCCGTGATTGCAAGTCTGTCAGGGAGCAAGGAGGATGGGGAATCAAACCCTGTGGCTGATTTTTAATTGGGAAGACAATGAGACATTCGAAACAAGATAACTGCAATTAGGATGAGAGACACTACAGAGATGAAGAGAAATACATCTTCATAAGAACAAGAGGGTTCCTGTCTCAAGGGGAACATAGGGAGAGAAAGGTAGCCTGCTTCAAATAGAATAGTTGTATAAATTAGACAGAAATCTGAGTATACAGAGAGAAATCTCCTCCTCCTTAAAGCTTTTGATTAATTTCAATGGAACAGGATTTCGCTGTCAGAATAAATGAATATTATTAATCTGGACTCTAAGTTATCAATAAGCAGATGTCATTTTATGTTACTTTCATGCTGGGAACAAAATACTTGATTACTTTTGTATACTCAAAAATTCAAGACAGAAAACAAGCTTACTGTGACATCTGAGAATGACAAGACAATATTTAAAAGCAGAACAAAACAAATCCCTTTCTGTGGTTGATCCACAGAGTGAATTACTGTGGGATTACTAGCAAGAGGCAGCTGAGCTTTGAAAGATTAATGGTCTTTCAGCCAAGCACCCTCCCAAGCCAACCCCACTGGACTACTCAGTGTGTTGTAGAGAAGCTTGACATGGGCTGACTGACCCAAGGTGATGCTGATAGCTCTGTCACCAGCTTGTTTCCTTCACAGGCACCTCTTTCTTCTCAAAACAAGACATCTTCCTTTCCCAAAGAGTGGTCAGCCAGTGAGGAGGCCTAAAGGTCTTCAAAGACACTCACTGCTGACTCGCTCATAGCTAGGAATATCCTTGTCAAATAAGGTAGGAGGACAAGTGACAGATGACAGCTGAGATGAGGGCTTCTGTTACCAGGATTTGGGATAAATAAATTGTCCTTCCCCAAATCAGTGATAGAGGATGTCCTGCACAAGATGTCCTCTGCTAACACCGACACCCGTAAGATGCCCAGACTTGTCATACTCTGTCTTCTGTCTTATGGGAAGACTGATAATGCTGACATGTTAGGACAACTCTAATGTCCTATGCAAGTCAAGGCAATTGGAAAGAGACCTGGCAGATGGACTAAAGAAATGCTTGAAGAAAGACAAATTATGGCTTATTAGAAATCTGACTTCAGCTCCCTTTCTCCCTTCTGTGGTCATTTTTGTCTTCCGTACCTAACAGAGTCTGCAGGTAGTGAATATCTACACTATCTAAAGCAACTTCAGTCATAATACACCTTTGATATGATCTATTCACTCATGAGAAACTAGAGAAGAAATGTGAAGCATATGAAGAATAGTGCTTCAGCATATGCTGAATGCAGAGAAGCTGACATTTCCCTGGAAGTTACAAGCAGCACTAATTGTCATATTTTTTTCTGAAATTTTATGAGTGGCATCAGTGTCTAAAAAAAAAAAAACCCAAGACAATCTGGAGAAGAAGGCTTTGCTGCAAATGTCTAACAGAGCTCGGAGCTCTCCATGTTCCCTGCTAAGGTCACAGGGATAGGGAGCACATGAACTGATTTCTTCTGACAGTCTTCGTGGCGCGGCAAAGCCGACAATCACAGGCAGGCAGAGGTTTCCATCTCTAAAAATAAATTCAAACGAGAGAGCATCATGAGAGCATCTTAGCTGCACAGTGCAGCAGCAGCCATAGCACTTTCCATGATCCCCCTAAAGCTCCAGCTAAGATGACTCAAGCCACTGCTTTTCATGCTTTGCTTAAATGAAAAAGTCTCTAAACAAGCAGCCAACAAGTGTTTTGACATGAAAAACTTGCCTTAAGGGGTCCTGCTTCTTCACATACATTTTGTTTCTCCTTTCCTATTTCTGTATTTCAGCCCTTAAAGTATAGCAGTGTGTCTATAAAAAACCTCTTGTAGACAAAGAGCCAGGATGTGTTTTTGACTATTATTCATTTCAGATCAAAGGAAAGAGAAAAACAAGAAATAACCAAATAATCAAGGCAAGAGCAGGATCAAACACTCCTTTTTGTTAGAGGAGTGTGGTGGGTAGAAAAGATGCTCACAATTAGGCAGCTGCCTCGGGGAGCGGTGCAGGAGACCTCCAAGCCGAGTGCGCAGTTCTGGTCAGACAGCCAGGCAATCCGTGTTTTCCAGGTGCAGTGAATAACTCTATGGCAACCTCCGCAGCAGAGCCCGGAGAGGAGAAGCCCGTGTATCTTGCTCAGGTAATAGAGACCCTACTGATGTGACACCTGCTGCCTCGGGCTGCCTGGATCTCCCCAGAGGATGAGGAAGAGGGTTTCTGCCTCTGACACTCTCTGCCCTATACCCAGACCCATTTCCATGAGCTGTGCTGCAAGATACCAGTGAAAAACTGGGTAGGAGTGACACAGCCATTAAATATCTTGGGTTTTGATTAGCATTTTCCTTTGTTTAAGACACAAAGACATCTGAAGGAGAAAATTAAAACCAGTTTCACTTTTTGCCTGAAATGGTGCCTATATGTCTTGATCAAAGACAGAGATGCGACTCGGCCTATCTACAATATTTTAACTCTTGACTATAAAAGCCTAAGGAAGATTTTAAAGGAATCATAGAAATCAGAGTTGCAGATGCACAGCCATAATAATCAAAACTGAATTTGTATTCAATAAGTGGATCTCTGCTTATAGTTTATGTATGTGATCAGCTAGCTAGTTTCTGTGTCCATTTATTGGGACACAGGAAAGATGTTTTAGTGACACCAGTTACCACAGTCAGTGAGGGGAGCGTATGAACACTCCTTGTCCACATCAACGTGAACTCTGGCATTTAGTTCAAACATACTTCCCACACAGTTTAATCTGAAATGTCTGAATTCACACCTTCTCCTTTGCCAGCTCTGTTAGAGGGAAGATAACCTCCACTGCCAGAGTGGGGCCACCGCGTCTTAACTGGCAGCATCAAGACTTGCAGGGTCTCTCTCATCGATTACTTCAGCCACTAGAGAAGTGTGGGGCAAAGGCAATGAAGTTGGTGGAACTTACACTGAAGACCCCGTGATAAGGAGTACTGTTGGTTGTAAAGGTTTTCTGGACGTTGTACAAATCCTGTCTCTTTCTGCAAAAAGAATCAGAGGCAGGCAGGAATCTCAGCAAAATTTCTAACAACACCAATGTTTCCCTTGCACGGCCCCAAAATGTGTACTTCACAGTTATTTTAGTCATGGAAATACTGCAGCTATTCCCTGCACTGCAAGCTGCAGCTACACTGACTTAATGGGATCATCTCTGCTCCCAGCACTTTGGGTAAAGACAAGTTGCCGTGAGACGCGTGAACAGTGAGGCAAACGAGCAGCTACATGTATCCTATCACATCTGCTATGGAGATCATGGAGAGAGGATTCTGTGGGGCTTGCAGGTTGCTGCTAGAGAAAGCCCTGTCAGAGAGACTGCTCGCAGCGGAGCCGTTCTGCTGAGCAGTGCACCCAGCTGCGGCGAGGGGCTGAGGAGCAGCCAGGTGGGTGCCCCGATTTGGAAGGAGAAGCCCTGGGGAGGAGCCAGGTTGGGACGTGGCAGCCGTGGTGCTGAGGAGACAGTTGCCAAGCTGCTCAAACAGACCCGGAGACTCCCCTGGAGCTCATTAGAAAGAGGCCAGGCAACTGAAGACTCTTTGCTTCCTTGAACATCTCTGACTGTTGGGAATCTAAGGGTGCTTTCCTGCTCTCTGTTTGTAGCTCAGAGAAAGAGGCCCCAAAGCCCTCACTCAGGAAGCTGGTTCCAGACCTGTTTACCTTCTCTTGTCTTCTTTTTGATGCTCTTTTTTTTTTCCAGGAAGTGTCATAACAAAAAGAACTAGGTGGTCACGTTGAATCCAGCGGCATCTCGCACCGCCCGCCGCTGTCTCTGCAGCCAGCTGGGTAGGTGATCCACACACTGCGACAGTGCAAACAAGCAGCTGCTCCAGTGGGTGTGCGTTACTCACTCCAACAAGCTCTTGAATCTAATTGGGAATTTCCAGGCATCTATTGCTCATGCTCTCTCCAAAATAACTCTTGGTTATAAAGCGTATGAATTAATCATCCTTTTAATCCAGCAAAAGCTGTGCTATATCTGCTCAATCACAAGACACTTATTTTTGTCCTGAGTAGC